CAGCTCAGTGACCTGGTCGCCCTGGTACGTGGAAAGCTGTCTCGCATGCAGCGCAACATTCTCTCTGCTCTGATCGTGATCGAAGTCCACGCCAAAGATGTCGCCGCTCGTCTGGTCGAAGAAAACGTTACCAGTGTTAACGATTTTGAGTGGATATCTCAGCTCAGGTATGAGCACATACAGACGTTACCAATATGGCCGCTGCTCACCAGGAGACACGTCCTTTCCGATCTTATATAAATCTAATGGAATTTGTTTCTCAGGTATTACTGGACCCGGGATGATCTGTATGTGAGAGCTGTTAATGCCGAGTTCTTGTATGGATACGAATACCTGGGGAACACGGGCCGACTGGTCATAACGCCTCTGACGGACAGGTAGGCTCATGGTGTGCTGTGGAAGAAGAGCTTAAAGTATTAGGCTGGGTTCACACCTAGGCGGATTGAATATGCACGTTTTTCGCGTGTTTTTTTTTACCGCGATTCGCGGTAAAAAAAAACACGCGAAAAATGCGCGTTTCCGAGGGATACTTGGCTGTATCCCAATGGAACCGCCCGACCAAAACGCCCCAAAGAAGTACATGTACTTCTTTGGGCGTAGGGCGGTTTCCCGCACGTTCGTACTCATGGAAAACTGCCCAGATGGGAACCATGCACATTGAAAATATTGGCATTTCCCTGTTTGAGCGTTTTTCCGCGAGTACGAAAGCGCGGAAAAACGCCTCGGTGTGAACCCAGCCTTAGTATAATTGTCAGGGTGCACGGGTGTCCTCACATTGCATGCAGGTACCCACACTGGAAGACCAAACGCTTATGACCACACTAGACAAGGGCGATGTGTCGTAAACAATTTATTATAACCAGCAAAACCAAACGCAACCCCCACACACAAGTATGAATAAGTAAAGTGACACCAACTAAATATAGCCACAACCCCATATAACAGGAGCAAATACAAACCCAGGGTATACAAAGCGGGCAAACCTAGGGAGCAGGGCAAGACAAGGGGGGGCAAGGGACAAGGTGTCAGGGTACAGGTGGGTAACAGGACTCGGGGCTGGAAGTAGGTAACAGGACTCAGGACTGGAAGTAGGTAACAGGTCTCAGAACTGGAAGTAGGTAACAGGGCTCAGGACTGGAAGTAGGTAACAGGTCTCAGGACTGGAAGTAGGTAACAGGTCTCAGGACTGGAAGTAAGTAACAGGTCTCAGGACTAGAAGTAGGTAACAGGACTCTGGACTGGAAGTAGGTAACAGGTCTCAGGACTGGAAGTAGGTAACAGGTCTCAGGACTAGAAGTAGGTAACAGGCCTCTGGACTGGAAGTAGGTAACAGGTCTCAGGACTGGAAGTAGGTAACAGGTCTCAGGACTGGAAGTAAGTAACAGGTCTCAGGACTGGGGACTCTGGATTCACAGGACACAACAGGATACTGAGCCATCGTCCTAACTGCAGGGAGGGTTTAAATACCCTCCCAGGAAGCACCAGGTGATGGCTAAGTGCTGGCAGCTGGAGACACCCGCAGGTGAGCACTGGAGCTGCAGGACTTAGCTCCAGCACCACCTGGAGGCGCTCTGGATCCTAACAATAATGTGAAATTAGGGTGGTGGAGCAATGAGCTCCAAGTTTGGTGAAGGTTCAAAATAAATCAAATGATTGCTGTCGTGTGGCAGCACTTTACTGCCTGGTGGAGCCCCAGTGGAGTCTCTAGGAAAATCAGCTTGTATAGAGTCAAATGATGAGCTGATGAGAGCAGCAAGCCATGACTTTTATTTTACACAATAAAAGGGTCTGTCAAGGCAGCCCAGACCATATAACTGAGCGAGCTCCTAATTCAAGCTCATGAAGATTTAAAATCACCCATTCAGACTCTGCTAACACGATGAATCTGAACCCCGATGAAGGGGGACTTGGGCAGCAGCCCTGAAACACATTTGCTGTCAACTCTTGTTGGTCCTTTTATTGTAATAAACAAAAATTCATATTTGAGGCAGTCCCTATAACTTGGCAATGTCATCAATAAACACTATACGCTGAGTGGCCAGATTATTATGACCACCCCATCAGTACTTGGTTGGGCCGCCTGGTGACTCCACGTGATGGTGAAAGGTGATGCGAGGAATCTGACACGGCACTGTTGCCCTTCTGTTGTCTTGTACCAGTCTTGCCCCTCCCCCGTTCTGCCCTAACATTGACTAGTCGCTGACGACCACAATTCGCACGTTCAGACCCAGATTTTCGGCTGACAGTCCGGTCTTTAAACACTTTAACAATGAGCCGCTCCTGAACATGTAATGAATTCTGCTGTTTGCGGATACTCGCTCCATGGCTCCGAGCGCCAACAATCATCCCGCGTTCAAAGGCTGTTACATCGCGTTGTTTCCCCGTATCTTCCCAATCACTTCTACTGTCGTGGTAACCAACCCGCTTCCCTATTTATAATGGTCTGGCCCTCCAGCAACTTCAGCGCCAAATTATAGCTCATTTGCCTACAAACGTCAGGTTGCCACTCAGTGTACAATCATAATGTGAAGTTGATCTGTAATGTGAATTTAGGTGCTACCTAACCCTGACGGGGGCTCTACATCTAAAGTTCGGAGGCGCCCCTGCTGGACCTGCCGGCACAGGGAAAACAGAGACCACCAAGGATCTGGGTAAAGCACTGGCCATCCAGACCGTTGTCTTCAATTGCTCCGATCAACTAGACTTCATGGCCATGGGCAAGTTCTTCAAAGGCCTGGCCAGGTGGGTGAACAATGTCTGCGCTTTATAGAAGTTTCCTGGGTGGGGCTCATTTCAGTGGTCAATTTGTTTTTCTGATGGCTCTCTACAGCTCTGGTGCCTGGGCGTGCTTCGATGAGTTTAATCGTATTGACATTGAGGTCTTGTCTGTCGTGGCCCAACAAATTACCACCATCCAGAAGGCTCAGCAGCAGAGAGTGAGTTACTGCAACTTCACTTCCAGTCTTTCTCTGTTTTTTCTTTCCATATCTTCCTTCTTCAAGTTCCATCTGGTCTCCATTTGTTATGTTTTCATTAAAACTTTCATCAATTGTCATTCCACACATCTTCTTTAAGGAAAAAGTTTATCACTCACTAAGGAAAGTTTATAGAGACATTCAAATCATTCCTTTATTTCCCAGTGGCCAGCTGTCCATACAACGCTGCTAGATTATAGACCAGCTACATCCTAAATATAGAGCCATTTATCCAACTGTCCATCCAGAGCCGCCATTTATAGACCAGCTACATCCTAAATATAGAGCCATTTATCCAACTGTCCATCCAGAGCCGCCATTTATAGACCGGATACATCCTAAATATAGAGCCATTTATCCAACTGTCCAACCAGAGCCGCCATTTATAGACCGGATACATGCTAAATATAGAGCCATTTATCCAACTGTCCATCCAGAGCCGCCATTTATAGGACAGATATATCCTAAATATAGAACCATTTATCCATCTTCCATCCAGAGCCGCCATTTATAGCTCAGATATTTCCTAAATATAGAGCCATTTATCCAACTGTCCATCCAGAGCCGCCATTTATACACCAGATACATCCTAAATATAGAGCCATTTATCCAACTGTCCATCCAGAGCCGCCATTTTTAGACCGGATACATCCTTAATATAGTGCCATTTATCCAACTGTCCAACCAGAGCCGCCATTTATAGACCGGATACATCCTTAATATAGAGCCATTTATCCAAATTGCAAGTCAGTTGCTTTCATTTCCTATACCATATTCCATTGTCTTCTTTTCTTTTTTCCTTGCTTCCATTATTGCCTCTTCAGCTTTAAAAACCCCCTTTCATCTTTCAAAGCTCCTCTCGTTTCTCCTGCATTGTCCTCTTCCTTATCCTTTTTGGTCCCTTTTTGTTTCTTTAGGTGGATCGCTTCATGTTTGAAGGAATGGAGATCCCACTGGTGTCTACCTGTGCCGTTTTTATCACCATGAACCCTGGCTATGCGGGCCGTACAGAACTACCTGATAACCTTAAGGTGAGATTGGGACAGGTAACCAATGGGACAGGTATGGGTCTTAAATGGGTCAATAGAAGGGCAACATGAACCCCTTTCATCAAGTCTATCAAGGCTCTCATTCATCCTGGTATAGCTACTAGTAGGCACAGGAAACTCAACCGGTCCTGTAATGCTGAAGATGTTTCATCTTCTGCATTAAAGTAGCTTCTTGGATGAGAGGCAAAACATCTTCAACATTACACAACAAGTCCAGCTGAATGTCACTAACTACTACTACTCATTTATAACAGATTATAATCAATACTATATAACCCCATATCACCCAATCCAATTTCTCTTTGTCTTGGTGACTATTGTGATGGAAAGTGATGGGAAATCCAAAAATGTATAGTCACTAACAAGAGGTGAGGGGAAATTTTCCAATGGGGACACCTGTTCTGGTGACACTTGTCTAACAGGAGAACTGCCCTTACTTTGTAGAGATTTCCTCTCACTACCTGTTGTATTTCTTGCACAGGAAGTAAAGGGAAATATGCCCAATAGGACACAAAGAGCACTGATGGAGGATTTGCTACTTAATCCAAAGCTAAAACCTTTTGGCTATACACACTTTCATATGCATTGGAGACTCATTTGACGTTTTTTGCCCACATTCAGAAAAAAATTGAGACTCCTGATTAATATTTTCATTCAAGAGGCGACTGGACGATTTCCTCAGGGCCGGTAATATACAGGGGTACAGGTACTCTTAAGAATGAGAACACATAGGGACCTATACATACGCACACATCAGTAGGACCATATACACATACACAATAGGTTGGACTCGATGGACATTATTCGATTGGTCTTTATTCAACCTCAAATACTATGTAACTATATTAATCTGGGGAGAGGTTTCTACTCTTTGAACCTCAACATAGCGCCAGCCTGATACATCTCACAAATCTGTTCTCCTCCTTAGGCTCTCTTCCGTCCCGTTGCGATGATGGTGCCGGATTACGCCATGATCGCGGAGATCTCTCTGTATTCCTTTGGCTTTGATAACGCCAAAATCCTGGCCAAAAAAATCACCACGACTTTCAAACTGTCATCCGAGCAACTCAGTTCCCAGGTGAGACCCGGCTCTGCCATTCACTTCTCTGTGCTCTGTACAATGTGTGATTATGTGTCCGGGATTTGTAAAGTTACTGAGAGGCAGTGGCGTCACAAGGGGGGTGAGGGGGGTGCGGCCCTCACCCGGGTGACACCATTGGAGGGGTGACACCAAAATGACTCAGTCAAAATGTCATGACTCAGTCATTTTGGTGTCACCCCCCTCTGAAAAGTCGGGCGCTCGGTCATGGACCGAACGGCCGACAGTATCAGGAGAGAGGAGGGGACCCGGCGGCATACCTTATCCCGCTGGGTGCCTGTCCCCTCCTCTCTCTGCCGGCGTCCATCACCATGCGCAGTGACGTCTCGGCGGGGTGACACTCGGTTACCGCTCCTGGTGTTACCCAGCCTCGGGACGCCCCTGCTGAGAGGTCCACTTTAATTTGCTCAGCCCTGCTCATGTTTCTGTTTTGTCTCCTAGGATCACTATGATTTTGGAATGAGAGCCGTTAAGACCGTGATATCTGCTGCTGGAAACCTAAAGAGAGAAAATCCAACTATGAATGAGGTGAGGAAACAAGACAACGTATCAGAGGTTTCATAGTGGGAACGTGTGTGTTGGGCTTCCCAAGTTTTTAGCAAAAAACATTGTGCAAGACTGACCCCTCTTACCACTGCATGGTCTCCGTGTCAAGCAGTGGCGGAGCTAAGGAACAAAGGGCCCTGGTGCAAGATTATTTTTGCCCCCCCCCTCCGTGACCGCCCCCTCGATCGCTGGGCCACGCCCCCTCGATTGCCGGGCCAGGCCTCCTCGATCACTGCCGATGACGGGCCCAGCCACCTCCTGCAAAGCTGCTGGTTGTCACCAACTCAGCAGCGGCTGTGAGAAGGAACGGAGCGTTCCTCCTCACAGCCGCCAGTGACAGCCAGCAGCCTGGCTGTCCGAGCAAGATGCCATAGCGGCCCGCATGGCATCAGGGAGATGCCCTGGCTGGGCCCCGCCGTGCCTCAGGCCCCATAGCGGCCGCCTGGGTCGCCTAAGGAGAGTTGCTCAGTACAAAAAACCTGCAGCAGAACCCAAGTCCTTCCAGTGGCTAAATGGCTAGGTTCGTGCACTTCCGTGCCCGGGTTCAAACCCTGAACAGGAGCTGATCAGACAGGTACGTGACACTCCGAGATGCACAAGGCGGCCTCTCCATGTAGCTACCTCAATACATTTGTGCCTAAAGACTTTGGAAATCCTCACTCCCATCATGCCTTGCCAGCTACTACAGTAAGTGTTTCTCTTCCAACACAAGGGGCGAAGGGGGTTCTTCACAGTTAGAGCGGTTAGGGTCAGGAACTCGCTGCCACAGGCAGTGATATCAGCAAATAGTGTGGAATCATTCAAGAAGCTTTTGGACGATTTCCTCAGAGACCGTAATGTACCGGGGTATAGGTACTCCTAAGAATGAGATGACACAGGGACCTATATACACACACACACACACACAATAGGTGTGACTTGATGGACTTGTGTCTTTATTCAACCTCAAATACTATGTAACTATGTAACTTTTACCTTCCCACAGGAGCTGATCTGTCTCAGAGCGATCCGAGACGTTAACGTCCCCAAATTCCTACAGGATGACCTGAAGCTCTTCAGCGGGATTGTGTCAGATCTCTTCCCCCGGATTGAAGATGTACACATCGATTACGGAAGCCTGGAGGAGGCCATTCGTAAAACGTGCACCCAGGAAAACCTCAAAGATGTGGATGGTGAGGAGACTCGTGATAATAACTTTAATCTTCAATGACGGAGGGACTTCATAGATGAAAGATTCCTTATTGCTGCTGGTTATTCTCACAATTCAATTCAATGATTGGTCCATTGAGCACAATGCGTATTTGTTTTTCTCTTGGTGTTTTAGGCTTTGTGACAAAATGTATCCAGCTGTATGAGACCACCGTGGTGCGACACGGCCTGATGCTTGTAGGGCCGACTGGTTCGGGAAAGTCACAGGTATCTCTCCATTTATAGTGCAATTCATGTCATAGAAACCGATATGCAGCCAGATGGACTGTGCACTTATAGCTTCTATTCTTATCGTCTTACCTCCACTTTCCTCTTATAGCAGCTACGCTGGGTGTCTAAATAGGACTGCGCAGTCCAAGTGCCACCTGAGTTAGACTTAGTGCACTTGGTAATCAGAACTCACGAAGAGAACTGGTCTGACACACTCCCTCACTAGTCTGACACATTCCCTCTCTAGTCAGACAAGTTCCTTCTCTGATCAGACACACCCCCTCTCTGGTCAGATACCCCCCCTCTATGATCAGACACCCCCCTCTATGATCAGACACACCCCCTCTCTGGTCAGATACCCCCCCTCTATGATCAGACACCCCCCTCTATGATCAGACACACCCCCTCTCTGGTCAGATACCCCCCCTCTATGATCAGACACCCCCCTCTATGATCAGACACACCCCCTCTCTGGTCAGATACCCCCCCTCTATGATCAGACACCCCCCTCTATGATCAGACACACCCCCTCTCTGGTCAGATACCCCCCCTCTATGATCAGACACCCCCCTCTATGATCAGACACACCCCCTCTCTGGTCAGATACCCCCCCTCTATGATCAGACACCCCCCTCTATGATCAGACACACCCCCTCTCTGGTCAGATACCCCCCCTCTATGATCAGACACCCCCCTCTATGATCAGACACACCCCCTCTCTGGTCAGATACCCCCCCTCTATGATCAGACACCCCCCTCTATGATCAGACACACCCCCTCTCTGGTCAGATACCCCCCCTCTATGATCAGACACCCCCCTCTATGATCAGACACACCCCCTCTCTGGTCAGATACCCCCCCTCTATGATCAGACACCCCCCTCTATGATCAGACACACCCCCTCTCTGGTCAGATACCCCCCCTCTATGATCAGACACCCCCCTCTATGATCAGACACACCCCCTCTCTGGTCAGATACCCCCCCTCTATGATCAGACACCCCCCTCTATGATCAGACACACCCCCTCTCTGGTCAGATACCCCCCCTCTATGATCAGACACCCCCCTCTATGATCAGACACACCCCCTCTCTGGTCAGATACCCCCCCTCTATGATCAGACACCCCCCTCTATGATCAGACACACCCCCTCTCTGGTCAGATACCCCCCCTCTATGATCAGACACCCCCCTCTATGATCAGACACACCCCCTCTCTGGTCAGATACCCCCCCTCTATGATCAGACACCCCCCTCTATGATCAGACACACCCCCTCTCTGGTCAGATACCCCCCCTCTATGATCAGACACCCCCCTCTATGATCAGACACACCCCCTCTCTGGTCAGATACCCCCCCTCTATGATCAGACACCCCCCTCTATGATCAGACACACCCCCTCTCTGGTCAGATACCCCCCCTCTATGATCAGACACCCCCCCTCTCTGATCAGACACCCCCCCCTCTGGTTAGACACACCCTCTCTCTGGGTAGACACACCCTCTCTCTGGTCTTGGACTTGTGATGTGGTGTGTGGCTGTGATGAGGGGTGTGGTAGTTACTAAGCTCTGCCAGCACAGAGCACTGGAGAGGAAGAGCATGAAGCAGAATTTGCGGGGGGGGGATGAAAGCTATTGTATGGCATTTCCACACATCATAGCATTGCGGAGGAATACAAAGAGAGGAAAAGGAGTGAGAATTCAGTTTTGCTTTAATGTTAATTTAGGCAATCTGGCAACCTGCTAATGTAAAACTACAAGTCTCAGCTAGCCTCTGTCTGCCAGGACATGGAGGGAGTCAGAGAACCCTGGCAGCTAAGGAATTATAGGACAGGTCTGCTTTTAAAAAAAAGTGCCACGGCAGTGATACAATTAGAGGTTTCATCTTATTTTCTTCCAGTATAATTTCAATGATTTTATGTGAATCTGTTCTGTATCATTAATCAGGTTTTGCGGTTGATCAAATTGTGTATTTTTCTATTTCTTTAGTGTTACAAGGTCCTTGCTGCAGCCATGACGTCTCTTAAGGGTCTCCCTTCAGTCAGTGGTGGGACCTACGAGACAGTTTACTACTACGTCCTGAACCCCAAGTCCATCACAATGGGTCAGCTTTATGGGGAGTTCGATCTGCTGACACATGAATGGTGAGAGTCGCATCTTTCCTAGACTTCCAAGCTGTAGATGTTCACATCCTAAAAATGATACAATTAGAGGGAATTACAATGGAACATGATCGAGGCAAAGCAGTAACCCAAAGCAGCAATTTACCCTTCACTGCTCTGAATGCTTTGAAGTGATAAAAGATAACAACTAGAGGTGCACCGAAATGAACATTTTAAAACCCGAAATGAAACCGAAATGGAAAAAAAATGTCAGGCCGAAACCCGAAAATGTTTTTATTTAAAACATTTTAAATTCTTTAAATATTTTATTTTAAATTATTTTTTATAAAAATTTTTAATTTTGTTTTATTTTTATTTTTATTTATTAATTCATTTTTTATTTAATATTTTTATTTTTTACTTTACTTTTAGGGGCTTTGGGGAAATATTTGGGGGCTAAACAGACCTTTTAAAATAGATAAGGAGATTGAGAACACAGAGCCCTCGTAGACACACAGAGTCCTCGTAGACACACAGAGTCCTCGTAGACACACAGAGTCCTCGTAGACACACAGAGCCCTCGGAGACACACAGAGTCCTCGTAGACACACAGAGTCCTCAGAGACACACACAGAGCCCTCAGAGACACACACAGAGCCCTCAAAGACACACACAGAGCCCTCAAAGACACACACAGAGCCCTCAAAGACACACACAGAGCCCTCAAAGACACACACAGAGCCCTCAAAGACACACACAGCCCTCGGGGACACACAGAGCCCTCAGAGACACACAGAGCCCTCAGAGACGCACAGAGTCCTCGGAGACGCACAGAGCCCTTGGAGGAGACACACAGAGCCCTCGTAGACGCACAGAGTCCTCGGAGACACACAGAGCCCTCGTAGACACACAGAGCCCTCGTAGACACACAAAGCCCTCGTTGACACACAGAGCCCTCGTAGACACACAGAGCCCTCGTAGACACACAGAGCCCTCGTAGACACACAGAGCCCTCGTAGACACACAGAGCCCTCAGAGACACACAGAGCCCTCAGAGACACACAGAGCCCTCAGAGACGAGCAGAGCTCTCGGAGACGCGCAGAGCCCTCGGAGACACACAGAGCCCTCAGAGACGAGCAGAGCCCTCGGAGACACACAGAGCCCTCGGAGACACACAGAGCCCTCGGAGACACACAGAGCCCTCGGAGACACACAGAGCCCTCGGAGACACACAGAGCCCTCGGAGACACACAGAGCCCTCGGAGACGCACAGAGCCCTCGGAGACGCACAGAGCCCTCGGAGACGCACAGAGCCCTCAGAGACGCACAGAGCCCTCGGAGACGCACAGAGCCCTCGGAGACGCACAGAGCCCTCGGAGACGCACAGAGCCCTCAGAGACGCACAGAGCCCTCAGAGACGCACAGAGCCCTCAGAGACGCGCAGAGCCCTCAGAGACGTGCAGAGCCCTCAGAGACGTTCAGAGACACACAGAGCCCTCAGAGACGTGCAGAGCCCTCAAAGACACACAGAGTCCTCAGAGACACACAGAGCCCACCTCAAGCTGACTCTCGGCGCCGGGCAGCATATTCTGAATGGCTGCTTGGCACAAGAACTGACGGTGCTGTGCTAGGGGGAGGCTGAGGAGCCTCTCACCTAGAAAAGTGGAAGGCACGTGGGGACCCACTGATCATGGGGTCGCGACCCACTTTTGGGTCATGACCCACCAGTTGAGAACCAAGGTACTAAAGGAATACGAATAAAAAGGACATTCGGTTGTAGAATGGTGTGCAGACAACATATCTTCTAGATAACAAACAAAGTGCCCCTCATGAACACCCCATTGGATACAAGAACTGCTGAACTGACAATCCTAGAGCTGCCCTTACTTTGGACTTTGTCTTACATTTTTCTCTGTTGGTTCCCAATGCAGGTCGGACGGGATCTTGTCCTCCCTGATCAGAGGAGGCGCCTCTTCCACAGACCCGGATAAGAAGTGGTACATGTTCGACGGGCCTGTAGATGCTGTGTGGATTGAGAACATGAACACGGTGCTGGATGACAACAAGAAGCTGTGTCTGAGCTCCGGGGAGATAATCAAACTGACCGAGGTGACCCCCAGACTTGACCATCACCCCTTTCAATGTTCTGTAGCTCAGCTAAGTTAATTGTAGTTATAATCACCAACTCCCGAGTGGCCGCCCAGCAGACACCGGAGATCCTTCACAAAATCTGCTTTTGCGTGAGGCTCCATCACTGTCATTATGATCATCAGCCTTCACGTTTTGTAAAAGCTGAAGTTTTGCCATGAGAATAATAATGTGATTCTCCGCAGTGTATTGTAACCTGTGTCTTCACTCCTCAGGCCATGACCATGATGTTTGAGGTTCAGGATTTGGCCGTTGCTTCTCCAGCCACAGTCTCACGTTGCGGTATGGTGTATTTGGAGCCCAGTATTCTGGGACTGACGCCGTTCACGGAATGTTGGCTGCGCCGTATTCCCGCTGTCATGGAGCCGCACAAAGAGCAGCTGGAGTCGCTCTTCTCCCGATTCCTGCAGGTAAATGGATCGGCCTCACCGGAGTCATAATGTACAATACATAACAACATTCAACTTCATTAGAATCAGCGGGACCCCACAGGACTGAGCTCCAGAGGTATCAGCATTACCGCTGGCAAACCTTCTAGTCTGCTGTATAATTAAAAAAAGCTCATTATCTGTAAGTAGATATTTAGAGTAATTATTATAAAATTTGCTGGAAGGGAAAATGTATCTTATTTTCAAAAAGCACATATTTGAGTAATAATTGCCGGCTTTGTCTTAAAGTGACCCTGCCAGGTCTCTACAGCTTGAATAGTTTTACTTCCCTGCAAAAGAAGATAAGGTATACTCACTGCTCCAGCAGCCTGGGTCTCCTCCATTCCAGCTCTGCAGCCTTGGGAAGCCTCCTTGGCGTTCAACACTTCTGAGAGTGTTGGGATTCCTTCCCCCGATCCCTAAGTCACTGCTGAGTCCATTCATTAATGAATTTTAGTCCATTCAGTAATCTCTCTTTTCATGTTCAGGATTCCATCCAGTTTGTCCGCCTATCGGTGAGGGAGGTGATCACTTCCACCGACAGTAACCTGGTGATGAGTCTTCTCAAACTTCTCGAGTGTTTCTTCCAGCCCTTCATACAACGAGAGGTAAATCTGCTCTGATCTCTTTGGAAATTTATTGTCACCAATTTATTGCTCCCACCTTGACTGCGTTTAGGCGTTCCCTAAAGACTCATCTCTTCAAGGAAGCAACAAAGGGATACAAAGGGCGCAAACACAATAAACCGCTAGCTAACTTGGCAGACCGTGGTAGAAAATTAAATGTATAAGCGCTTACATGTAGATCCTGGGACCAGAGGATGGACGGCCAGTGTGTAGGCTCGGGACACCCGTGGTGTGTGCCCGAATCTGGTGTGCCCGAATCTGGCTGGTGTACTGCCTGGGGACGTGCATCCACAAGGGGAGAGAAGGCTGTGAGCGAGGAGGGGGGAATGGGAGCTCAGTCCGTGGCACCGCTGTGTGAGTCTGGGAGCTGAGCGGTGTGGGGGAGAATCGGCGGTGTCGGATGCTGGACTACTGTGGCCGCGGCTGGAGATACTGCTGCTCGTTCTCTGTCAGCGCAGACTGGGGCAGTGTGCGGGAGCCGTTATCTAGAAATGTCGGCAGTCAGTCAGATCTGTGATGGGATGACGGTTGTAACGGGAAAGGAGGGCGGAGAGCAACGCGTTTCGAGGTGTCCCCTCTTTTTCAAGCTCAGATAGAACGATAAAGATGTTTATTGATTTTGACATAACAGGACACATTTGCAAAGACAGTGGGAGCACATGGATACAACTTACAGCACGCAATTCAAGGAGTTATTCGGGACGCCCCTGGGGGGCCCAACAAACTTGCAGGGTTATAAGGAGGAAGATGTTCTTTTGTGAGTCACTGCATCACAGAACCGCCATTCGCGCTGTGAGAGAGCATACTAAACCACTGCAAACATTAAAGGTCGCCCCCAAGAGGGACAGTTGGAAAGGAATAGAGAGAGAAGAAGAAGAAAGAGTAGGAAAGTCTAGGGTGGGTAGGGAGAGGGAAAGAGAAGGGCTTACCAGGGTCAGTTCCTTCCCGGGCATTGAGGAGATATATATTTTTATCACTAACATAAAATAAGAAGATAAGTTAGTATATTATACTAACCAAAGGTTTGTGGACACTTGGCCATCACACCTATATGAGCTTATTGGACTTCCCATTCCAAAACCATGACCATTATGTCACGGTCTGGGAACCCGAGTCGCTGGTGCACGAGAGCTCCGGGTTTTGTGGAGCAGGTTTAGAGTAGCAAGCTGGAATGAAGCCTTTGGGTACAGGGCAGAGGACTCAGAAACTAGGGGTCTGTGCATTATCAGGGACGCACTAGAGGCGCAGGATCTAAGAAGGGCCAGGTCTTCCACAGTGCCTCTGATGGTGAGGATGATTGGCCGCTGGACACTTTCCAGGTAGCGGTCCTCTAGTGCACTCACACAGACTCAAGAACTGATGCAGCACCGGGGCTCTGGAGGCAAGGCAGACAGGGGCAAGGCGTGGACACACACACAGCATTACAGGATACAGAGGGACACAGGAGCAGGAGTCCAAACAACAGTGGGAAGGGAACACAAGAAGACAGCAGAGAGACAGCACAACACGGCTATCTGGAGATAACAGGGGAGAGAGGCTGTAAGGACAAACAGCCACACAGGAGGAAGACAAACTCACAGGAAGCAGGAACTGACAGGGTGCGCAAAGCAATCACAGGAGGCACAAGAAACCAAGCAGGTCAATGTCAATTCGCAGGTATCCAAGGCAAATAGTACACAGGGGGTCCGGTAACAATTTGTTGCTTGAACATCAGGCAACAAGTGAGCTGAACATTTAAGACTGAGGTTCTGCGTGGATTGGCAGGGAGCCGAACACCTGGGACAGGAGGCAAAACCCGGCTCCGGATCATGGCACAGGGAAGTGTGACAGAATAATATGTAGTTGACACCACTTTGTTGCTATAACACTCTTCTGTGAGGGCTTTCCACAAGTTGATGGAATGTGTCTGTGAGAATTTGTGTCCATTTAGCAAATAGATCATTTGTGAGGTCAGGAGCTGATGTTGGATGAGAAGACCCGGCTCACAATCGGGGTTCCAATTCATCCCAAAGGTGTTCAATAGGTTGAGGTCACAGCTCTATGAAGGACAGAGTTTTCAACATGAAACTGGTCACACCATGTCTGTATGGAGCTCTGTACACAGGGGACAGTCATGGTGGAACAGAAAAGGGTCTTCACCAAACTGTGACCACACGGCTGGAAGATCACAATTGTCTGCAATGTCTTTGTATGTTGTAGTATTAACAGTTCCCTTCACTGGAGACACCTGAACTCCATCATTTGGAGGGGGGTGCACATACTTTTTGTCATATAGTAGGTATGATTGTCAGATGTCCAGAAACAAATTGCAACATAGTGCAGGTGAATATTACAAGTCCAGCTCTATATATCAGAACTTACAGAAAAAAAAATAGAAAGGGGGATCTGGATATAGAAGACATTTAGCAGCTTTGTGTCTATACACGTTATGAACACATTCCTTGTTTCTTTTCCAGGGACAGAAGAAGATCTCACAGGAGAAGCTGAATCATGTTGGAGATCTGGTGGAATCCTGGTTCTTCTTCTCGCTGGTGTGGAGCGTTGGGATCTCTGGAGACTCTGCCAGCCGTGAACTGTTCAGTAAATTCCTGAGAGACAAAATGGCATCTGAAAAGGTAAGATTGCATAAAATAAATCTAAGGACGACGACGGGTCAAAAACACAAGCGATGTTCATCGGGTCTCTGTCATAAAAGAGGAGAGAGCCATTTAACTTTCCATAGCAGCGAATCAGAATCCTTCATTTAATCTTCCATACTGCGTTAAAGTTATGTAGGGAGAGGTCCATTAGTTGCAGTTGTCTGCACTCCTTTTCTCTTCATGCATGAGACACAAAATCAGAGCTTATCGAAATCCTTCTCTGGGTCCTCCACCTATTAATAGAAGACAAATGGTTTGTTGGCAGGTGACAATGTTGTTCCCAGAGGAAGGATTAGTCTATGACTACATGTTGGATGATGCCGGAATCAGTAGCACTGCTGAGGACGAGGATGAGGACACCCAGCGGAAGGTGAGACGCGCCATGCACCCAATCACCTGTCCATAATATCAGACTTGTCCTCCTGCTGTGTGTAAATCTGCTTCATCTCCTGATTTAGGTGCGCTGGGTGAACTGGATGGAATCTTCCGCCCCCTTCTCCATCGCACCCGACACCAGCTACGCGGATATCATCGTACCCACATTGGACACCGTGAGGATGTCCCACCTCCTGGGGATGCTGCTCACCAACAAGAAGCCTGTAGGTGTTACAAGTGTCTGAGAACAGCAGGAGTTAGGGTTGAGTTTTGTGGTGATGGATCCCAGAATGTTCGGTCTCCTTCTGAAAGTTGTGCCGGTTCTACATATCAAACATTAGGAATACTGTTAATGCAGTTATAATGCTTATAAGCTGAGGTATATAGAATGGCAGTATATATATATTATTATTATTATTACACGGGATTTATATAGCGCCAACAGTTTGCGCAGCGCTTTACAATATAAGGAAGACATTACAATCACAATACAATTCCAGACAAGATGGCAAGGAGGGCCCTGCCCCTGAGGGCTTACAATCTAAAAGGGAGGGGCCAGTGATGCATGAGGCGGGAGCTGTGTGGGGATGAATTGTTTGAGAATGTGATGGTTCATTGGTTAGGTTGAGGTGGGATCGGCTTCCCTGAAGAGATGAGTCTTAAGGGATCGCCTAAAGGCAGTCAAGGTGGGAGAAAGACAGACAGGTTGAGGTAAAGAGTTCCAGAGGATGGGAGAGACTCTAGAGAAGTCCTGGAGGCGAGCATGGGAGGAGTTGACGAGGGAGCTGGAAAGCAGGAGGTCTTGGGATGAGGGGACGGTTAGAGTGATACTTTGAGACAAGGTTGGAGATATAGCCGGGGGGCAGAGTTGTAAATGGCTTTGTAAGTCCTCGTTAATATTTTGAATGTAATCCTTCGGGCTATTGGAAGCCAGCGCAGGGATTGGCAGAGGGGGGCGGGGATGGAAGCCAGTGGAGGGATTGGCAGAGGGGGGTGGGGGATGGAAGCCAGTGCAGGGATTGGCAGAGGGGGGTGGGGGATGGAAGCCAGTGCAGGGATTGGCAGAGGGGGGTGGGGGATGGAAGCCAGTGCAGGGATTGGCAGAGGGGGGTGGGGGATGGAAGCCAGTGCAGGGATTGGCAGAGGGGGGTGGGGGATGGAAGCCAGTGCAGGGATTGGCAGAGGGGGGTGGGGGATGGAAGCCAGTGCAGGGATTGGCAGAGGGGGGTGGGGGATGGAAGCCAGTGCAGGGATTGGCAGAGGGGGGTGGGGGATGGAAGCCAGTGCAGGGATTGGCAGAGGGGGGTGGGGGATGGAAGCCAGTGCAGGGATTGGCAGAGGGGGGTGGGGGATGGAAGCCAGTGCAGGGATTGGCAGAGGGGGGTGGGGGATGGAAGCCAGTGCAGGGATTGGCAGAGGGGGGTGGGGGATGGAAGCCAGTGCAGGGATTGGCAGAGGGGGGTGGGGGATGGAAGCCAGTGCAGGGATTGGCAGAGGGGGGTGGGGGATGGAAGCCAGTGCAGGGATTGGCAGAGGGGGGTGGGGGATGGAAGCCAGTGCAGGGATTGGCAGAGGGGGGTGGGGGATGGAAGCCAGTGCAGGGATTGGCAGAGGGGGGTGGGGGATGGAAGCCAGTGCAGGGATTGGCAGAGGGGGGTGGGGGATGGAAGCCAGTGCAGGGATTGGCAGAGGGGGGTGGGGGATGGAAGCCAGTGCAGGGATTGGCAGAGGGGGGTGGGGGATGGAAGCCAGTGCAGGGATTGGCAGAGGGGGGTGGGGGATGGAAGCCAGTGCAGGGATTGGCAGAGGGGGGTGGGGGATGGAAGCCAGTGCAGGGATTGGCAGAGGGGGGTGGGGGATGGAAGCCAGTGCAGGGATTGGCAGAGGGGGGTGGGGGATGGAAGCCAGTGCAGGGATTGGCAGAGGGGGGTGGGGGATGGAAGCCAGTGCAGGGATTGGCAGAGGGGGGTGGGGGATGGAAGCCAGTGCAGGGATTGGCAGAGGGGGGTGGGGGATGGAAGCCAGTGCAGGGATTGGCAGAGGGGGGTGGGGGATGGAAGCCAGTGCAGGGATTGGCAGAGGGGGGTGGGGGATGGAAGCCAGTGCAGGGATTGGCAGAGGGGGGTGGGGGATGGAAGCCAGTGCAGGGATTGGCAGAGGGGGGTGGGGGATGGAAGCCAGTGCAGGGATTGGCAGAGGGGGGTGGGGGATGGAAGCCAGTGGAGGGATTGGTAGAGGGGGGTTGCAGAAACTGAGTGGTTGGTTAGGTGAATGAGTCTAGCAGCAGCATTCATAATGGACTGAAGAGGGGAGGAGCCTGTGTACAGGTGGGCCAATGAGGAGGGAGTTGCAATAGTCAAGACGAGAGATAACAAGGGAGTGGATGAGTAGTTTTGAGGTTTCATAATAGTTAATGCATAATCAATCATTCGGAGAATTGGTAAAATAAGATGTTAAATAACAGGACTTTACTATATCTTAACCAACTTGTATGTCATTGATGACTTTTGTATACAGACCAGTTACCTGCACGTCATGTTGAGCCTCTTGTTTCAGGACTTGTCACTAACCTGGAACTGATAGGCACATTTTTTTCCAGCTTGTCTGATTTGCAAACATTTACCAGGTCATTGATTCAGAAAATGCTGAAGCTGGTGGATCAGCATGTCAGCCAATCAACATAACATAAAATATCAGATTCTGTGTTTCTGTCAGGAATGGTTTACTATGAGATATCATTGGTGAAGAAGGAAGGAGTTCATTTATTTTTGTAATTTTCACCCCTCGCTTCATTGTTCATGTAGTAACGTCTTTTGTTTTCTGGCTGATCTCAGGTTCTTTGCATTGGTCCCACCGGCACCGGGAAGACCCTGACTGTCTCAGACAAGCTTCTGAAGAACATGCCGCTGGAATACATTAGTCACTTCCTTATGTTCTCTGCGCGGACATCGGCCAATCAGACCCAAGATCTTATAGACAGCAAGCTGGACAAAAGGCAAGAGGCCCGATGAAGCTCGGGGGAGGGTTATCACTGTGCACTGAGAATAAGGGGGTCAGGAAAAAGGGTCACCCTGAAGTCCAACCCCAGAGGAGCAGAAGTCCCATGCTAGGACCATACACACCAATACATGAATCCTGGGACGGAGACAAAGCTTCTCGCAGATACATTATATGAGACCATCATCTCTGTTACATGGTTAGTCAGGTTGAAAAGAGTTCAACCTATAGAGGTAAGAGGGGGAAAAAAAGAAAGACCTAAAACAAAACGCTATGCCCTCAGTTACCCACTGTTGATCCTTTGCACAGTTTATTAATATACTCATAGCAGTATGAGCATCTCTGGTCAGCGAGGATCTCATTGTGCTATTGGGCATCTTTCACATCACAGGGACCTTCTGAGAAGAGGCCAAGGACCAACCTGATCTGTCATTTTTTTTTTTTTTTATGTAAAACATTTTTTTATTGGTTTGCAGGAGATACACGTTACTTTGCAGAACATATCCATACAGATGTGCGTGTTGCATCGCATATTATTATATACTGTATACCCAGCTCTCACATAGAATCATATTTGTGATACATACAAGGTGACCAAAGTGATGTTGTCCATATATTGGTATTTCAATTCCGTCACCTCTGAAAACCGGCTTACATAGAACCCAAAACCAATGACCGCTAAAGGGTGCCAAAACGCACACATCTGAGAAACAAAAGTAACCAAAAAGAGAGAAAAAAAAAACATGCAAAATTCACAAACACGTACCATACACTGAGTGGCCAGATTATTATGACCACCCCCATCAGTACTTTGTTGGGCCACGAGATAACTCCACGAGATGACTTTGTTGGGCCGCCTGGTGACTCCACGAGATGATGAAAGGTGATGCGAGGAATCTGACACGGCACTGTTGCCCTTCTATTGTCTTGTACCAGTCTTGCCCCTCCCCCATTCTGCCCTAACATTGACTAGTCGCTGACGGCCACAATTCGCACATTCAGACCCAGATTTTCGGCTGACAGTCCGGTCTTTAAACACTTTATCAATGAGCTGCTCCTGAACATGTAACGAATTCTGCTGTTTTGCTGATACTCGCTCCATGGCTCCGAGCGCCAACAATCATCCCACATTCAGAGGCTGTTACATCGCGTTGTTTCCCCGTATCTTCCCAATCACTTCTACTGTCGTGGTAACCAACCCGCTTCCCTATTTATAATGGTCCGGCCCTCTAGCAAGTTCAGCGCAAAATTATAGCTAATTTGCTATAAACATCAGGTGGTCATAATAAACTGGCCACATTTCAATGCACATCTTACATTTTAGTCTTCATAATCTCAAAGGGCCCACATATAGAACATTAAGCCCTGTTAGTTGATTGTTTGGAACTGATCTGTCATTATAATGTTTGGATAGGTTCCAGAATGAAAGTTAACATCTAGAGGGCAATTTTAGAGGAAATCAATGATTGAATTATCCACTGCCAGATTTTGTGATTGGTTCAGTTTCCTTGCCATTGCATGTACTGTCCTTGTGACACCTTTATGTATGGGAGGCCAACAGTCCTAAGAGGTAAGGCTGGACGGAGTCAGGGATCTTGCCCACATGTATCTAGTGAGATAGGGATTGCACAGTGCTGGATGAAGTTCCAAACTCAAAGTCTGTTTTCCAGTATGTAAAAACTTTTTAAAAACCCAACGGGATTCTGAGGATGCAAGAAACCTTCTCCTCAACAGGGCTGCAAAATATTAAAATACACTTGGGATGTTCAGAACATAAGAACTGAATGTCCCGCATGAAAAACATAGAGATTGATAATCAATGGATCGTCACTCTTTGTAAATATCAGATGTCAAATTGTTGCAATATTTTCATAATTAATGTTACATTGGTTATTCGTATACTCTGCATGCAGCTCATATTCATCTGCTATTGCAGGAGGAAAGGGGTGTTTGCTCCACCCCTTGGACGTTACTTCATCTTCTTTATTGATGATATGAACATGCCGGCACTGGAGACCTATGGAGCACAGCCACCCATCGAGCTGCTGAGACAGTGGATGGACCACGGAGGGTGGTACGACCGCAAGCAGATAGGTATTCGGCAGCCTTTCTCAACTTTTGTAACATAGAAGAACCCTTGAAATAACGTGCGGTTCTTAAGGAACCCCTACTAATAATTACTATCGATACAGCTACAGATGTACAGATGTATTCAGTTTGATTGGAAGCCTCCGAATTGCTGCCATGTGGCTTCCTTATCATTTTCCTTGTGAAATACTGATAGTCCGTATTCTGTCTCCTTTCCTATCACCAGGGGTCTTTAAGAAGTTAGTAGACATTAACTTCCTGTGTGCCATGGGGCCGCCAGGAGGAGGCAGGAATCCCGTTTCCCCCCGCCTCACCCGTCACTTCAACTACTTGTCCTTCACCGAGATGGCCGACAGCAGCAAGAGTCGAATCTTCTCCAGTATCCTGGCCAACTGGATGGGTGAGTGTGACTATGGGGCTCCAGAAGAGACCACCAACCAAGGATTATTGAGGGAGATGGGATTGGATAGGTTGGAAAACCTTGTCCAATCGTTTTGTTTTCTCCCTGGATGAGCCGCCCCCCTGAACCTTCCATAGGGGGGATCATCCCTGGTTGTCTGACCAAATTAAGACTAAATTCTTAATAACTGCCATACGTTACTGTGCGTTGCTTTTCTGAACTTACTGAATAAACCCAATCTCTGTCTTCTACAAATCTTCTATAGACTCTTTAGACCTTATCTCTTTGCAGACATTGTTGGATGTTCTCAGCCCAGAGTGACAGGGTTTTTGACTGGCTGAATGTTTTTAACCATTCGCAGCTTTTCTAGTCCTCCAATATTTATTGTCTCTTCATTTCCTCTCAGTTGGCGCACCAACCATCCAGAACCTAACCGAGCAGCTAGTTGATGCTACAATAAAAGTCTACAATACAATTACGTCACAGCTCCTCCCCACCCCAGCAAAATCCCACTACACCTTCAATCTGCGAGACCTGTCCAAGGTGTTCCAGGGCATGCTGATGGCTGATCCAACCAAAATGGAGGTAAGAGTCTGGTGAAAAGAACTATTCTCCGTCTCTCCATATACTGCATACCTAGAGGCCTCTGTTTATTAAAGGTTCCGTTCACGATCTGGTATCAGGCTCAGAGTCCAGTAGCTTAAACAGCAGGCAAATTTGTGGTATAACAGGCCGGGTTTGGTACACAAGCAGAGAGTAGTAGTATAGGAGCAGGCAGAAGGGTAGTCAGAGAACAAGCCGAGGTCAGTAGCTAAAGGTATCCGGTATGAAGCAGAAGGCGATGAGAGCGGTCCGGGAATCAGCAGCCAAAGGTCGGTACACGGGTAGCAGTATGAGCGGATTGTATCACAGGAGGAGCAAGGACGCAAGATATTGGCAGGAGCACAATAATCTGGCAAACAGGAAGTGCAGAGGCGTGGCTTAAATAGGAAGTCCAAGGGAGGAGCAAGGAGTTCAGAGTTCAGCAGAAACTAGGTTTACCTGAGGATTACACAGGAGAGCAGGCAAGGAGCTATCCAAGGTTTCAAGGTGGCTCAGCAGGTAGAACCACCGCCAGCTACAGCAGAGGCCCTGGGTTCAGATCCAGATCCTGACAGATCCATTTGATATTTCAAGAGTTTTTAGTCCAGTAACTCATTTACATTATTATCTAACACACATTTCTTTTCATAGTGTATTTTAAAAGTCTTTAAAGCATACATTTGGCATACCTTGAAATCTATGGTGCCACATTTAAAACCTCAAGTGCAAATGTCCATTGACCCAATGGAAATATTTGTTCTGTATATTAGAAGCAAATACAGTTTTGAAGACTGATTTTTCCAATGTATAAAGGCATTGGCCAAAAAATTGCTACAGATTTGCACCTGCCTCACCACCTGGCCTACTGCATTATTCCTACCGTGTTTCCCCCGAAAGTAAGACCTACCCCGAAAGTAAGACTTAGCGCTATCTTCAGGGATTTCTGTAATATAAGACCTACCCCGAAAATAATTTCTTATTTTCGGGGAAACACGGTATTGGAAGGAAGCTGGATACCACTACTATCATGTGTGAACTGTGACCCTAAAATGGCAGCTAACATTGAACAATAGGTTTTATAACACGCGTACTGCCTTCTGAGCCTCTTGCTTTGATCTTTGGAGTTGATAGGCAACCTCACTGACCAATAGGAAGATTAAGGAGGCTCAGGGGGGCATGGCTAGCATTACAGAGATTTGCATAAAATCTTGGCTACTCATATCTCTGGATTTGAGGATTGTTTGGACATGTGATTGAAGGAGTGGTTGTTGTTACATATAGAGGTGAATTAGGAGTTCTTTCACATTATGTAAATTCTTGTACTTGGTCCGATGACTGGGGTGGTTGCCCCTTTAAGAGTAATTCCTTTACTGTGTGACTGCTATCCTCACTTTAGCATTTTTTTTTTTGTCTTGTAGAACAAGTTCAGCCTCTTGAAGTTGTGGTACCACGAATCCTGCCGGATCTTCCAGGACCGCCTGGTGAATAATGAAGACCGCAGCTGGTTTGATGAATTGATGAAGGGCCGGATGGAGGAGTTTGGGGCCACTTTCCAGGAAGTGGTGCCGCAGCAGCCGGTGCTCTATGGAGATTTCATGACCACTGGAGCAGATTCCAAAGCCTACCAACTCATTGAGGATAGGCAGAAGGTAAGGAGGAAATACCAGGCCATGACTTTTCTCTCCACAGAGCCTCCAATGCTGTGTTGGAGTCCTTTCAAGGGAGACTCCAGATACATTGAGGTATAATAAAATCTTCTCCATGTGAGATATGTACACTGCAAGGATTTTGGCAAACTTTGATGCATATTCTCTGGTGACATTTTTAAAAACAAGAGCCAAAGGGAAAGTCCTGCTCAAAGGATTTGGACATCAGTCTAGGAGTTTTGTATTTGAAACAGAGCCAAACATCCCATCATCCTTCATTGCTTTCACTGGTCTGTCGCTGGGTGAATAATAATGCTGCATGATGGTAAATTTCGTATTATGTCTGTGTCCAGGAAATAAAAAGGAATCAATTCTATCTGCTCTTTATGTCATGGACTGGGGTCTGTGTCCACAGAGAGAAGGACTGTCCAGATGATGCAGAAACGTATAGGAGGCTGCGTGGAGGCGCAGGGGTCACAGAGGTGCCCAGGGCACACTAGGAGTCACTAGATGACACAGGACGGACATGAGCACACTTGGAGTCACTGGATGACACAGGACAGACATGAGCACACCAGGAGTCACTAGATGACACAGGGCGGACATGAGCACACTTGGAGTCACTAGATGACACAGGACGGACATGAGCACACTAGGAGTCTCTAGATGACACAGGGCGGACATGAGCACACTAGGAGTCTCTAGATGACACAGGACGGACATGAGCACACCTGGAGTCACTAGATGACACAGGACGGACATGAACACACCTGGAGTCACTAGATGACACAGGGCAGACATGAGCACACTTGGAGTCACTTGATGACACAGGCCGGACATGAGCACACCTGGAGTCACTTGATGACACAGGACGATCATGAGCACACTTGGAGTCACTGGATGACACAGGACGGACATGAGCACACTTGGAGTCACTAGATGACACAGGACGGACATGAGCACACTTGGAGTCACTGGATGACACAGGACGGACATGAGCACACCTGGAGTCACTGGATGACACAGGACAGACATGAGCACACTTGGAGTCACTGGATGACACAGGACAGACATGAGCACACTTGGAGTCACTAGATCATACAGGATGCTCTGGGTTGCACTTGGGGTCATTGAGGCTTACAGGTGCACTGGAGACACTGGGATGCATTGGGTGCATTTGAGGAACTGGGATGTACTGGAGACACTGGGATGGATTGGATGCAGCTGAGTAACTGGGGCTTACAGGGTGTACTGGAGACACTGAGGTACAAAAGGGGCATTACAGGGAACAATGGCAGCTGCAGAAGCTTGGAGGACTCTGAGGACTGGAGGCAGGCATGGAGGACAGGTGAGGTATTGCAGCACTGCGGGCTTGACTTAGGCGCAACCATGTGTTGCTTGAACTCAGAGCCATGGGTCGCTTAGCAGTTTGAGGCGGCATCAATCAGGAAATCTGTCTTCTGATTGGCCGCAGTCTGGAAAGGGGAACTCACATTGCCACCTTCAAAACTTGCTGTGCAGAGCTTATCCGTCAGAGTGGCTAAGCACCCACAGTCCTGTTTCAGTTTCTGATAACTCGTCTGTCTATATCAGGAATTGTGACCTGAAACAGAACAAGAACACTGTAAAGGAGGTAAATTAATTTGTATGTTTTTTGGTAACCAGACTAAAGGATTGTCACGCGTTTCTTTCGCAGCTCGTTCAAGTGATGGAGGAATACATGGAGGATTATAATCAAATAAACACCTCCAAAATGAAGCTGGTCCTCTTCCTTGATGCCATCCAGCACATTTGTCGCATCAGTCGTGTCCTGCGCCAGCCGCTGGGCAACGCTTTGCTCCTGGGCGTGGGAGGAAGCGGGAGACAGAGCCTCACAAGACTGGCCAGTCACATGTAAGGATGAAGGGAAGGACAGGACAGGAAGTGATAGGAAATCAGTCCAACCGGAGCACAGTAGGAAAGAGTTAGAATATCTGACAATTGCTGTGTGTTCCTCCCTGTCTCGGTGACAATCGATTCCCTGTAATTCTTATCCTAGTGTCACAAGGACAGGAAGTGAGGGGCTCACAGACACAAATCATTTAATCATTGCAATGCATGAAAGTGATTGGCTGCTGCTTACTGAATGTGTTCTATCTGACCTCTGTCCTTCCCTTCAGTCTTCTATCTGACCTCCGTCCTTCCCTTCAGTCTTCTATCTGACCTCTGTCCTTCCCTTCAGTCTTCTATCTGACCTCCGTCCTTCCCTTCAGTCTTCTATCTGACCTCCGTCCTTCCCTTCAGTCTTCTATCTGACCTCCGTCCTTCCCTTCAGTCTTCTATCTGACCTCCGTCCTTCCCTTCAGTCTTCTATCTGACCTCCGTCCTTCCCTTCAGTCTTCTATCTGACCTCCGTCCTTCCCTTCAGTCTTCTATCTGACCTCCGTCCTTCCCTTCAGTCTTCTATCTGACCTCCGTCCTTCCCTTCAGTCTTCTATCTGACCTCCGTCCTTCCCTTCAGTCTTCTATCTGACCTCTTTTCGGTGGTGGAATAGGTGAAGAATTCCAACGCTTTCATTTTTTGGTGTAACTGTATTTTATTTCGAAGGCATTTTTAAATACAATTAAATTAAAATTATTAAATCAAAACAATCTAAAATATAAACAATCAACGTCCCCCCCTCAGCGGGCCACGGTAAAATTATCAAACGTTGACCGGTCCGATAAAAAGGTTGGTGAGCACTGCTCTATCTGACCTCCCTCCTTCCCTTCAGTCTGCTATCTGACCTCCCTCCTTCCCTTCAGTCCTCTATCTGACCTCCCTCCTTCCCTTTAGTCTTCTATCTGACCTCCGTCCTTCCGTTCAGTCTTCTATCTGACCTCCGTCCTTCCCTTCAGTCCTCTATCTGACCTCCCTCCTTCCCTTTAGTCTTCTATCTGACCTCCGTCCTTCCGTTCAGTCTTCTATCTGACCTCCGTCCTTCCCTTCAGTCTCCTATCTGACCTCCGTCCTTCCCTTCAGTCTTATATGTGACCTCTGTCCTTCCCTCTACTCTCATATGTGACCTCTGTCCTTCCCTTCACTCTCATATGTGACCTCCGTCCTTCCATTCAGTCTTATATCTGACCTCCGTCCTCCCCTTCAGTCTTATATGTGACCTCCATCCTCCCCTTCAGTCTTATATGTGACCTCCGTCCTCCCCTTCAGTCTTCTATCTGACCTCCGCCCTTCCCTTCGGTCTTATATGTGACCTCCGCCCTCCCCTTCAGTCTTCAGCCCCGAATCCTATGTTATCTGTATCTCTCCAGGGCCGAGTATGAGTGCTTCCAGATCGAACTGTCTAAGAACTACGGGATGGCGGAGTGGAGGGAGGATCTAAAAGGAATCTTACTTAAAGCAGGACTGCAGAATACGCCCATCACTTTTCTCTTCACCGACACCCAGGTAAAGTGCCCGGAGACTCGCCCCGCATGACCCTCACGGCAGAGATGAAAGAATTTGGTCTTACGAGTTCTATATTCCACGAGTGGTCACAATCTAGGATTTTGTGCCAAAGCAAGCTGCTGATGGCCGACGGGATACAGTAATTATAAAATTTGCCGGGATGGTAATTAGTGGATTCATCGGTGGAAGATTTGATCCAGAGTATCATCATCATCATGACACTGATGGGGTCAACAATGAATTTTGTATGCAGTGCCATAGAGTTTAGTGGACGCTCCGTGCCGACTAACAGGCTTTTGTTTTGCCTTCCTCTGGATCACCAGTCAGAATTACACTGGATGTAGAGATCTGATCCCTCCAGTGTGTTCTGATTCTTTACTGGACCTTCTCCCTGCTGAATGTGCTGGCCAGAGCTCCCTCTGGAACCCATCAGCACATCATAAACCTGAAGTCTGTTCAGTGATAATCGTGGATCCCCGCCAGGGCCAGATATCCCACAAGGCCAACCAAGGCCCGGCCTCGGGGCAGCAGGGAGTAGAGGGGCAGCAGGGGTGTGGAATTCCTATCTCCCAACGCCCGGGAGATGTAGTTCCGGGTGCCGGGCGGGTAGTTGTTTCCTACATTTAGCCCGGCTTTGATCCAGCAGGGCTGAATGTACAGCGGGGAAGCCGCCGTTTGTTTTGTACACGTGATCTCGGGACCACCGAGACCACTCGTATGCAGCCTGCAGGTCTGCCATTCTCCATGGGGGGGTGGGGGGGTTGGCGAGTAGGGGGGCGTATTGAGGAACCTGGCATTGGGGCAGCAGAGAGAGTAAATCCGGCCCTGATCCCCGCACTATTTCCTCTCACAGTAGCTCTACACTTCCATCCTCTAGATCAAGAACGAATCATTCCTCGAAGACATCAACAATATCCTAAACTCCGGAGATGTCCCCAACCTGTACGGGACGGAGGAGCTGGATCAGATTGTCACCGTCATGAAGCCGGTTGTACAAGACATGGGGCAACAGCCAACCAAAGCCAACTTGATGGCCGCCTATACCCGCCGAGTACAGGGGAACATCCACACCGTGCTGTGCATGAGGTACCCGTCCAGAATGAATGACGCTCCTCCTTTCTCTGATCCTCTTCTCTATAATACATACACTATATTACCAAAAGTATTGGGCCCCTCCAAATATTCAGATCCCGATGCTCCGTGACATTTCCCGGCTACTAAATATTCCGCGGTCACCTGTTTCTGGGATTATAACAAAGGGGAAGCGACTGGGAACAACAGCAACTCAGCCAGGAAGTGGTCGGCCACGTCACATGACAGAGCGGGGTCAGCGCATGATGAAGCGCACAGTGCGCAGAAGTCGCCAACTGTCCGCAGTGTCAATAGCTACAGACCTCCAAACTCCATGCGGCCGTCAGATTGGCACAACAACAGTGCGTAGAGAGCTTCATGGAATGGGTTTCCATGGCTGAGCAGCTGCATCCAAGCCGCACATCACCAAGTGAATGCAAATCATGAGATGCCGCGGTGTAAAGCGCGCCACCACTGGACTCTAGAGGAGGGGAGGCGTGGTCTCTGGAGGAACCAATCACGCTTCTCTGTCTGGCAATCCGATGGGCGTGTCTGGGTTTGGCGGTTGCCAGGGGAACGGTACTTGCCGGACTGCATTGTGCCAAGTGTAAAGTTTGGGGGAGGGGGGATTATGGGGGCGGGGTTGTTTTTCAGGGGTTGGGCTCCGCCCCTTAGTTCCAGTGAAGGGAACTCTTAAGACATCAGCACACCAAGACATTTTAGACAATTTCATGCTCCCAACTTTGTGGGAGGAGTTTGAGGATGGCCACTTCCTGTTCCAACATGACTGCGCACCAGTGCACAAAGCAAGATCCATAAAGGCATGGATGGGGGAGTTTGGGGTGGAGGAATGTGACTGGCCGCACAGAGTCCTGACTTCACCCCCATAGAACACCTTTGGGATGAATTAGAGCGGAGACTGCGAGCCCCTCCCCCAACATCAGTACCTGACCTCACAAATGGTCCAACATTCCCATAGACACAAACCTTGTGGACGCCTTCCCAGAAGAGGCGGAGCTGTTATAGCGGCAAAGGGCGGAGCCAACCCAATACTGAACCCTACGGACTAAGACTGGGATGCCATTAGAGTTCATGTGCGTGTAAAGGCGTCCCAATACTTTTGGCAATATAGTGTATCTGATAAGTTCCCAAACTTTAGGATTCTGACTGTTTGGAAATAAACCCTCCAATCTGTCCTCATACACTGGTGCCGGGGGCCCAGGTCTGAACATATTCGTGTCATCGGTCGTGCAATGATACAAAGTAACAGAGAATTTCATGTGATGTGTTTAGTAAAGATCTCGATCTACCTAAAGAAAATTGTTACAAAATTTAAGCAAATTCCAAACTCTAAAAGCTGTCAGTGATTTGGGTCATTTTTTATTGTTTCCTCCAATCTACTGAAAGCAGCTCCGTGTTCTCCGCTCTCCGAACTTCACAACCTCCTCTTCTCTCCAGTCCTATAGGTGAGGTTTTTCGCGCTCGTCTCCGGCAGTTCCCGTCTCTGGTGACTTGCTGTACCATTGACTGGTTTGACGAATGGCCGGCGGAGGCTCTACAATCCGTAGCCTCATCCTTCCTGATGGAGATCCCGGAGCTGGAGTCCAAAGATTCCGTCATCCAGGGCATGGTACGTTATCAGTTCTGGCCGGAGGTCAGTGCACTGCTATCAGTATAACAGTGATTAAATGTGAACCCCGTCCTCCCCTTCAGTCTTCTATCTGACCTCCGTCCTCCCCTTCCGTCTTCTATCTGACCTCCGTCCTCCCCTTCCGTCTTCTATCTGACCTCCGTCCTCCCCTTCCGTCTTCTATCTGACCTCCGTCCTCCCCTTCCGTCTTCTATCTGACCTCCGTCCTCCCCTTCCGTCTTCTATCTGACCTCCGTCCTCCCCTTCCGTCTTCTATCTGACCTCCGTCCTCCCCTTCCGTCTTCTATCTGACCTCCGTCCTCCCCTTCCGTCTTCTATCTGACCTCCGTCCTCCCCTTCCGTCTTCTATCTGACCTCCGTCCTCCCCTTCCGTCTTCTATCTGACCTCCGTCCTCCCCTTCCGTCTTCTATCTGACCTCCGTCCTCCCCTTCCGTCTTCTATCTGACCTCCGTCCTCCCCTTCCGTCTTCTATCTGACCTCCGTCCTCCCCTTCCGTCTTCTATCTGACCTCCGTCCTCCCCTTCCGTCTTCTATCTGACCTCCGTCCTCCCCTTCCGTCTTCTATCTGACCTCCGTCCTCCCCTTCCGTCTTCTATCTGACCTCCGTCCTCCCCTTCCGTCTTCTATCTGACCTCCGTCCTCCCCTTCCGTCTTCTATCTGACCTCCGTCCTCCCCTTCCGTCTTCTATCTGACCTCCGTCCTCCCCTTCCGTCTTCTATCTGACCTCCGTCCTCCCCTTCCGTCTTCTATCTGACCTCCGTCCTCCCCTTCCGTCTTCTATCTGACCTCCGTCCTCCCCTTCCGTCTTCTATCTGACCTCCGTCCTCCCCTTCCGTCTTCTATCTGACCTCCGTCCTCCCCTTCCGTCTTCTATCTGACCTCCGTCCTCCCCTTCCGTCTTCTATCTGACCTCCGTCCTCCCCTTCCGTCTTCTATCTGACCTCCGTCCTCCCCTTCCGTCTTCTATCTGACCTCCGTCCTCCCCTTCCGTCTTCTATCTGACCTCCGTCCTCCCCTTCCGTCTTCTATCTGACCTCCGTCCTCCCCTTCCGTCTTCTATCTGACCTCCGTCCTCCCCTTCCGTCTTCTATCTGACCTCCGTCCTCCCCTTCCGTCTTCTATCTGACCTCCGTCCTCCCCTTCCGTCTTCTATCTGACCTCCGTCCTCCCCTTCCGTCTTCTATCTGACCTCCGTCCTCCCCTTCCGTCTTCTATCTGACCTCCGTCCTCCCCTTCCGTCTTCTATCTGACCTCCGTCCTCCCCTTCCGTCTTCTATCTGACCTCCGTCCTCCCCTTCCGTCTTCTATCTGACCTCCGTCCTCCCCTTCAGTCTTCTATCTGACCTCCGGCCTTCCCTTCAGTCTTATATCTGACCTCCGTCCTGCCCTTCAGTCTTATATCTGACCATGTATGTATCACATCCGTGTATTGTGTGCTGTCTGTGTGGAGTTCAGCTTCGTGAATGCGGCTTTCCCCTTACAGATCCAGATGTGTGTGGAGATGCACCAGTCAGTCGGCGTGAAGTCCAAACAGTACTTAGCAGAACTTTCCCGTCACAATTATATCACCCCGAAGAGTTACCTGGAGCTGCTGGGGATCTACTCCACTCTGATCGGGAAAAAGCTGATGGAGATCAAAACAGCCAAAGATCGGATGAAGAGCGGCCTGGATAAGGTGAGAGAGACACGTGACCGGCTCAGTGTCCTCTGTACAGCGCTGCGGTATATGTCAGAGCTTTATACATGTGGGGGGACATTAGAGTGTAGTACTTCTTCTCTTCACGTTTCCCCCGGTCACTCCTCATGCTGATCAGATGGAGGAGAATCATGAGGAAGCATTGGCCAATCAGATCCCATTGTATCGAATGCTCCGATCTCTGAATCCTTTCTCCTTATCTCCTCCAGGAAGACACAGTGGTGGCGGAGGCCACGCGAGCCTCAGTGCAGGCGGAGGAGGCCAAAGCCAAGGAGAAGGCGCGCCTGGCCCAGGAGATCGCAGATGACGCCCAGAGGGATCTGGACAAAGCCCTCCCCGCGCTGGACGCTGCGCTCGCCAGTCTGAAATCTCTTAATAAGAATGACGTCACGGAGGTGAGGAGAAGGAGAAGGTGGAGACTTATGAAAGTGGGAGGAGGAGAACATTGGGAAATATATGTTTGCTTTATCGGTGAGCTCTGGTAATAAAGGGGTTAAGGGCCCATTCACACCCTTGCGGTCCACACACATGAATGGGCAACACATCACAATGACTCAGAAAACAGACATGTACCCCTGCAACGCAGCACACCCCAACCCATGCATGGAGCTGCACTGACTTAGTGAGATTATTATTATTATAATACAGGATTTATATAGCGCCAGCAGTGTGTGCAGCGCTGTACAATATAAGGAAGACATTACAATCACAAGACACGATGGTAAGGAGGGCCCTGCCCCTGAGGGCTTACAATCTAAAAGGGAGGGGCCAGTGATGCATGAGTAGGTCGCTGTGTGGAGATGAATTGTTTGAGAAAGTGATGGTTCATTGGTTAGGTTGAGGTGGGATCGGCTTCCCTGAAGAGATGAGTCTTAAGGGATCGCCTAAAGGCAGTCAAGGTGGGAGATAGACAGACAGGTTGGGGTTACATGCATGATATACTAAAGGGGGAGGAGCCTGTGTAGCGGTCAGCCAATGAGGAGGGAGCTGCAATAGTCAAGACGAGAGATAACAAGGGAGTGGATGAGTAATTTTGCGGTGTCATTGGTGAGGAAGGGGCGTATTTTGGAGATGTTACGAAGGTGAAGGCGGCAAGATTAGGATAGGGATTGGACGTGGGGAAGAAAGGTGAGGTCCGAGTCAAGGATGACACCTAGGACCTTGGCATGGGGGGGAGGGTTGGATGATGGGTTTCCATTCAAAATCACCACCCCGCACAGGTGTGAAAGGCAGCTTAGAGTCAGTTTGTTTGTCCATACAAGGCCGAGGCAATGTAAGGCAGATACAAGGTATCCCAAATGCATCTCTAGCGACCACGTACCATCGCCCCGGCAGAGAGAATCCTTTGTGCCCTCTGTAAACCATATTGTGTCCTCAGGTGAGAGCCATGCAGCGCCCCCCGGTGGGCGTGAAGCTCGTCATTGAAGCCGTTTGTATAATGAGAGAGGTCAAACCGAAGAAAGTGGCCGGGGAAAAGCCTGGAACCAAAATTGATGACTACTGGGAGCCGGGGAAAGGGCTGATGCAGGACCCGGGCAAGTTCCTGGAGGGACTCTTCAAGTATGACAAGGTGCGTGCCGTGGATGTTCCGTGATCATGATTGTATGTGCCAGACAGGAGACGAGAATTGTCAATGGCATGATCTCATTTCTCTGCTGTCAGGAGAACATTCCAGATGCGGTAATCAAAGCCATCCAGCCGTACATCGATAACGAGGAGTTCCAGCCGGCCGCCATCGCCCGTGTCTCCAAGGCGTGCACTTCCATCTGCCAGTGGGTGCAGGCCATGCACAAATACCACTTTGTGGCGCGAGGCGTGGAACCCAAACGAGTGAGTACTGGAGATACAACACCGTGACATAGTATTCATTTCACCCTTCGGGGTCCATTCATAAAGGGCGGGGAAATAAAAAATAGTGACCCGCCACCTTGAGGAAAATCTCTTTTCCAACTCCCCTCCATTGTGAATAAAGGATTACGCCAAGTCTCGCGGGGTGAAGGTTCTGACCCAAATTTGTGAGAAGAAATTGGGTAAAGGGCCTTCAAACATTTACACTCAGTTGTTATACAATTAAAATAATATGGAATACATCTCTTCAATACATATACGGTTTACATAATGATACCTGTCCATCTACCAGAAATGCAGCGAGCTCTTAACTTCCTGTTTGGGATGACAACACAGTGTCTCTGCTAAGAACAGAAATCCCAACCAGCATTGGCAGCCCTGCCTACTGGACTACAGATCTCCATGTATCTCCACCAGGGACGTGCGGTCAGGGGGGGCGGAGCCTCACCTAGAATTATGGAGGAAAAAGCCGTCAGCTTCACGTCTGAAGCTGATCGAGTAAGAGGTACCGCACGTCACTGATCTCCACCCCCTCTCTCCCTCTCCACATGCATACCTTGACTTCCTAGAAAAGATGCCTCTTTACTTTCAAGCATCTGCCCACACGCTAGGGAAAGGGTTTTTGGGAGATGTAGTTCTGGCGTTGTGCCTATGTCAGTAGGAACTGCCCCCCCCTAGATTTTCACAAGCCCGACAACGACGTCACAGGGATTGATAAAAGCTGTTTCTTGCAACATGATCTAGGTGGGGTGAGGGAGGTTTGGGGGTACATTTGGGTAATGCCTGGACATACACTTTCAAAAAGACAAGGACAGGGTAACTGAAAACAGCTTTTTTTTCACCCTCGGGTGTCATTTGAAGCCCGTTGCACCCTTATAACCCACAGAAAACGTCTTCATTTTGCCTTCCCCATTGACCCAATGCATTTTTCCCAAATAGCTAAATTTCTGTCATTCCCCAAACGGCTCAAATGTTCACAATTTTACCCAAATGTAACCACATAGTTCCTCCTCAGTCATCTGATTGGTTGACCGTCTTCCACATATTAGACATGTGCGATTCGTTTCGTTACGAATCGAAATTCGTACAAATTTCCTGAAATTCGTAAATTCGCAAGCATCCGAAATCCTAATTGCAGTTTCCGAATTATATCCGTATTCGGATCCGAATTTCGTTGAAACAGGAACTAATATTACCCCTGTAAATGAGGTTGAACAACATGACAAGATTTTTTTTTTATACGAAATACGGATCGGCTGCTGCTGAGAGTCGCATTACAATACTCAGGCAGGAAATACGGATCGGCTGCTGCTGAGAGTCGCATTACAATACTCAGGCAGGAAATACGGATCCGCTGCTGCTGAGAGTTGCATTATAATACACAGGCAGGAAATAAGAAATTCCGTTGACGTATTTTCGTTCCGTTACGAACATTCGTTATATATTGAAGGTAAAAAGCAAAAATACCTTTGTTAATATATTGGAGTTGATGGTAGTTTTTTTTTTTTAATCCGAAATTCGGATCCGAAATTCGTTAACGGAATTTCGTATTTCGGATAAAAAAAAAATACCATCGACTCCAATATATTAACAAAGGTATTTTTGCTTTTTAACTTCATCATAGAGAATGTTCGTAAAGTTACGAAAATGTGACGAAACTAATGAAAATTCGTATTTCGTTTAAATACGAATTGAGTTTCGGACACGAATTACGAAATAACGGATATTCCGAAACGAAACTAATTTTTTGATGGCGCGCAAGTCTACCACATATGCGTTTGATGATTTGGCTTCCTCATCAGACTTTGTTGTGTTTTCTGCAGAAAGCTCTACAAGAAGCTCAGGAGGATTTGGCGGAGACTCAGAAGATTCTGGATGAGGCGAAAGCTCGGCTGAACGAAGTGGAAGAGGGGATCACGACTCTGCAAGCCAAATACCGCGACTGCGTGTCCAAGAAAGAAGAGCTGGAGCAGAAGTGCGACCAGTGCGAGCAGAAGCTGGGCCGGGCCGACAAGGTGAGCAGAACCGAACCTCAAACTTTCAACCATTCCTTTGCTTCCGTATTCACCTGATTATTCCCATCGTTATCTACACCCCCCACCCCGCCTATTACACCCGCCCCTCCCTCCCTTCCCCGCTGTCATTGTTTTCACTCCACCATCGCTTTGTGCCCCCCAGCTAATCACCGGACTCGCCGATGAGAGGCTGCGCTGGCAGGAAACGGTGCTGAGCCTGGAGAACCTCCTGATTAACGTCACTGGAGACCTGCTGCTCTGTGCCGGATTCTTGGCCTATCTTGGACCATTCACGGTAAGGGATTCTTATGACCACGATGTATTTAGTTCCTGTTCAGTAGATCAGACATTGATTATACGGTTCCCGGTTGTCCACAGGGCCACTATAGGACAGCTCTGTTTGAACAATGGACCAAAAAGCTGAAGGAGCTGGAGGTACCTTGTACCCAGGAGCCGTCCCTGATAGGGACATTGGGAGACCCCGTCAAGATCCGTTCCTGGCAGGTGAGTTATTGGAGAGATTCCAGTAGGAAATGAATAAGCCGATATTATTATTATTATTACACGGGATTTATACAGCGCCTACAGTGTGCGCAGCGCTTTACAATATAAGGAAGACGTTACAGTTACAGTACAAATCAAGACAAGATGGTAAGGAGGGCCCCGCCCCTGAGGGCTTACAATCTAAAAGGGACAGGTTCGTCCTTTGAAGATCAAGGGCCTTGAATTCCTGAACCCCCCTTCCCCGGAGTGTAAGGCTCCTGACAGGGATGAGCACAGACGTATTTATTCTCTCTGCTGCCCCAAGGCCATCGAGGGCAGACCCCGATCCTTAGGGGCCAGCCAAAGCGTCGGGAGATAGGAATTCCACACTCGTGCTGCCCCTCTACTCCCTGCTGCCCCGAGGCCGGGCCTGGGTGGTCTTGTGGGAAATCCGGCCCTGGGGACAAGGGCAGACCCCGATCCTTATGGACCAGCCAAAGCCGGTCCACCAAGTACTCAGTGAGGGCTGTCCCGAAGAGGGACCTCCAGTGGAGACAAGCAACAGACCCAAAGCTCACAGATTTCAGTACAGGCCCCAAAGGAACCCACACCCTCCATCATCTTTGGCCTTGCTGCCGAAATAAAAAATTGCTGCGGTTAGCCATAAGGCCTGCCTAGGAAGCATGTGCAGGAATGCCGTGACCTTGTGCTGGTGTCACACACTGGGATCTCAAACTCAGATGCCTCATGTCAGATGTTGTGCTTGTTCCTCCTCGTGTCTTTACACATCATATTAATCCCACTTTTCCTCAGATTGCCGGTCTTCCGAATGACACGCTGTCAGTGGAGAACGGCGTGATAGTCCAGTATTCCCAGCGCTGGTCTCATTTCATCGACCCTCAAGGACAGGCCAACCGATGGATCAAAAACTTGGTGAGCTCATTGAGATACGTGATATGCAAGGTGGAGACAGTTTATGAGCCACAGAAGAACCGAGACTCCATTTTGCTGTCTGCTTTTTCCAGGTTTATTCTCCATTTGTGTTCTATATACGCTGTTGAAATCACATGACTGGCTAAACAGAATGACAAATCCTTTGGCATGGCCAATAGCTATAGTTCCAAGTTGTTTTACCAATAATGGCTGTACGGATGGGGGGGGGAGGGTTTCCTTAGGCCCCATTCACATGTAGCGACATACCTTTGCAGCGGCGGGGATAGCGCGACGTTCGGGGCGACGTTCCAGCGACGGTAGCGCGACCTTCTCCGGTCGGGCTCCATAGAAAAAAAGCGAAATCGCGCAAAATCCGCCGAAAAAAGGGTCCTGTAGAAGCGACTTGCGACCGCGACGAGCGACGCGCGACATGGAGCTAAGACAGCTCCATTGACTATCATTAGCCGGCGACTTCTCGCGATATCGCGCGGCAAAAATGCGCGAAATCGCGAGATAAGTCGCTACATGTGAACGGGGCCTAAGAGTGCGGTGCCCTCTGGTCCTTTTGGAAGTACATGAAGGGTAGCGTCTCCGTGACCCTTATATCCAGTGATACATATTGGGAAGTTTCTTTTAGGATGGGAGGGAAATCAACAGTTTTTTGCTGATAAATTGGGACAAAATGTAACAATTTGTCAAAATTTTTTACTAATTTTGGTGAATGCATTGGAGGCAATGTGGATGGATAAACCAAAGTCATTGTGGTGTTTTATAAATGAGCAATGGGCTGCAAATGGCTGCTGGGGATCAAAGAAAAGGGGGAGTACAGAAGCGCTACTACCATATATAAACTGAATAGAGATGGCCAACTTACCAATGGATGGATGGTGGAGCGTAATCAGCGGCGAGGGGTCGATAGGTGTAGGTCCATGAATGGTGAGGGTGGTAAGCACTCAGGGGGATATGTGAGCAATTCTGCAGAGACCCACATACCTCCTAATTGCTCACATATCCCCCTGAGTGCTCACCACCCTCACCATTCATGGACCTACACCCATCGACCCCTCGCCGCTGATTACGCTCCACCATCCATCCATTGGTAAGTTGGCCATCTCTATTCAGTTTATATATGGTAGTAGCGCTTCTGTACTCCCCCTTTTCTTTGATCCCCTTGGCAAACGACGGACACCCCTGCCCGCATCTATAAGAAGCAGCACACCCATCATTCCTACCCACACCCAGACACCCCCACCCTTGTGGCAGCGCTGCATCTAGGGACAACTCTCCCAATTTTTCAACTGCAAATGGCTGCTGAGTGTTAGGGAAGCTCCGTTAAACTATTTTTTTTCGCCAAGTTTTATCTACATCGAGGAACGTTTTTCTTTCTAGATGCAAATCAAGTCGAGCTAGAAGGAAATTCAGTGGCAGCCATCATTGATTTGGCTTTCTCAACAAAACCATGTGATCTCCATGTCACCGCTCATTTGGTGACCACAGGTCGGAAAACAAAAGCCAAGCCAGCAAAGCAAATTTTCACCTGAGCAGGTCACATGGTGAAGTTTGGGGACAATTTTGACAAAATTTTAGTGAGTCATTTTGCTGAAAAATTATTTTGCGGCGGCGGCGGCGACACTCCGCTCATCTTTAGTTCTGTGTCTGAGATAGCCAATAGGAAATGGTTTTGTATACAATGTATAGTGATAGCTGTGGTTGTGCTGTTCTGATGGAGTCTACTTTGGACAGAATTAACACTTTGTTGTCTTCGTCTCCCCCCAGGAAAAAGATAACGGCCTGGACGTGGCGAAGCTCAGTGACCGCGACTTCCTGCGCAGTTTAGAGAACGCGATCCGCTTTGGAAAGCCGTTCATGCTGGAAAATGTTGGGGAAGAGCTGGACCCGGCACTGGAGCCCATATTACTCAAACAGGTACGAGAAGAACTAGTTCTGTTTCTTGGTGGTGTTATCTTCTAGAACAGCGGTTCTCAACCTGCGTAACCTCAGGACCCACATTTGTCCCCGGTCGTTAAGTCGTGACCCAAATCGCACGGCACTGGAACGCACGGCATTGCGGTACCGTGTGTTCCGGTCCGGGCAATCGAGCTGTGGGTGGGAGGTGTGTTTGGGGTGCCGTTCAAGTGAATGGCAATGCAACACAACTCCCACACCAGAAATTGCAGGGGACTGTGTGAATTGCGCACTGTACAAGTGTGAACGGGCCCTCAAATCACTGATAGACCCACACAACCGCAGACATTCTCCCGCACAACCGCAGACATTCTCACGCACAACCGCAGACATTCTCCCGCGCAACCGCAGACATTCTCACGCACAACCGCAGACATTCTCCCGCGCAACCGCAGACATTCTCACGCACAACCGCAGACATTCTCCCGCGCAACCGCAGACATTCTCACGCACAACCGCAGACATTCTCCCGCGCAACCGCAGACATTCTCACGCACAACCGCAGACATTCTCCCGCGCAACCGCAGACATTCTCACGCACAACCGCAGACATTCTCCCGCGCAACCGCAGACATTCTCACGCACAACCGCAGACATTCTCCCGCGCAACCGCAGACATTCTCACGCACAACCGCAGACATTCTCCCGCGCAACCGCAGACATTCTCACGCACAACCGCAGACATTCTCCCGCGCAACCGCAGACATTCTCACGCACAACCGCAGACATTCTCCCGCGCAACCGCAGACATTCTCACGCACAACCGCAGACATTCTCCCGCGCAACCGCAGACATTCTCACGCACAACCGCAGACATTCTCCCGCGCAACCGCAGACATTCTCACGCACAACCGCAGACATTCTCCCGCGCAACCGCAGACATTCTCACGCACAACCGCAGACATTCTCCCGCGCAACCGCAGACATTCTCACGCACAACCGCAGACATTCTCCCGCGCAACCGCAGACATTCTCACGCACAACCGCAGACATTCTCCCGCGCAACCGCAGACATTCTCACGCACAACCGCAGACATTCTCCCGCGCAACCGCAGACATTCTCACGCACAACCGCAGACATTCTCCCGCGCAACCGCAGACATTCTCACGCACAACCGCAGACATTCTCCCGCGCAACCGCAGACATTCTCACGCACAACCGCAGACATTCTCCCGCGCAACCGCAGACATTCTCACGCACAACCGCAGACATTCTCCCGCGCAACCGCAGACATTCTCACGCACAACCGCAGACATTCTCCCGCGCAACCGCAGACATTCTCACGCACAACCGCAGACATTCTCCCGCGCAACCGCAGACATTCTCACGCACAACCGCAGACATTCTCCCGCGCAACCGCAGACATTCTCACGCACAACCGCAGACATTCTCCCGCGCAACCGCAGACATTCTCACGCACAACCGCAGACATTCTCCCGCGCAACCGCAGACATTCTCACGCACAACCGCAGACATTCTCCCGCGCAACCGCAGACATTCTCACGCACAACCGCAGACATTCTCCCGCGCAACCGCAGACATTCTCACGCACAACCGCAGACATTCTCCCGCGCAACCGCAGACATTCTCACGCACAACCGCAGACATTCTCCCGCGCAACCGCAGACATTCTCACGCACAACCGCAGACATTCTCACGCACAACCGCAGACATTCTCACACACAACCGCAGACATTCTCACACACACCCGCAGACATTCTCACACGCGACCGCAGACATTCTCACGCACAACCGCAGACATTCTCACACGCAACCGCAGACATTCTCACACGTAACCGCAGACATTCGCACACACAACCGCAGACATTCTCACACACACCCGCAGACATTCTCACACACAACCGCAGACATTCTCACACACAGGGCAGCTATCAGGGGGGGGACGGCCGATACTCATGTACGGGGCCTTTACATGACTATCGGCCGACAGTGAAGGGCGAGGAGGCAGAGGCCTGGCCCAAGCAGCGCAGGGCCCCAGCATTGCCGCTCCAGCGGCTTCGAGACAAGCTGGGGCCCCATCAGCGATGCTGCACGTCTGATGTCGGACTGGTCGGAAGTGACGTCATGCTAGTGACATGACGTCACTTCTGGCCTGTCCGGCGGCAGGCGAGGCCATGTGTACAGGTAAGAGGAGCTAGGAAGGTAAGAAGGAAAGGAGGGAGGGTCCTAATTTAGCTGGCCGGTGACTGCCAGCGGATCTCGACAAGCGCGGCACTTCTGGCAGTCGCCGGCCAGCTAAATTAGGAACCCACCTGGAGCTCCTCCCACCGGACCAGCGCTGACTCGCCGCTGCTCTCCCGCACCGAAGGTAAGTGAAGAAAAGAAAAAAAAAACATAGCGCAAACATCGGGGCATTTTGACAAGTACAAGTACTTGTCAAAATGCCCTGTTTTTTCCGCCCTCACCCTGCAGCTCCCTCAGGCGGCCGCCTGACTTGCCTTGCGGTAGCGCCGGGCCTGGGTCCAGGCACCTCTAAAGGACACGTGAGAGAGCTGTAAGCAATGCAAGTGTGAACGGAGCTCACTTGCAGCCATGGCCCCCATCCCACCTCAAGCTGACACTCGGCGCCGCGCTGCATATTTTGAATGGCTGCTTGACGTGAGAACTGACAGTGCTGCGCTAGGGGGAGGTTGAGGAGACTCTCACCCAGAAAAGTGGAAGGCATGCAGTGACCCGCTGAACAAGGGGTCGCAACCCACCAGTTGAGAACCAAGGTTCTAGATCCTCTGTCCAGGAGCTGCACTGATTCTTATGTCTCTCTCTCTCTCTTGCCATGCCACAGACATACAAGCAGCAGGGGAGCACCGTCCTACGTCTCGGAGATGCCGTCATTCCGTATCACGATGACTTCAGGATGTACATTACCACCAAACTGCCGAATCCCCATTATCCACCTGAGATCTGCACCAAAGTTACCCTCATCAACTTCACACTATCCCCCAGGTAAGAGACGTCTAACTGACCACAGCAATCATCTCTCCCTCCTACTAATGCAACTTCCTAATGAAAGTAACATGTTTGAGGACAAAAGTGGATCTTCAACTCGCCATGAAGGATCACATGAAGATAAGCCGGCCTTTACATCTGACCCTTCCTGATTCCCCTCCTGTTATTGCCCCCGCAGTGGTCTGGAGGATCAGCTCCTGGGGCAGGTGGTGGCAGAGGAGCGTCCTGACTTAGAAGAAGCGAAGAACCAGCTGATCCTATCCAATGCCAAAATGCGTCAAGAGCTGAAGGAGATTGAGGACCAGATCCTGACCCGTCTCAGCTCCTCCCAGGGGAATCCAGTGGACGACGTGGACCTCATCAAGGTGCTGGAGGCCTCCAAGGTGAAAGCGGCTGAGATCAAGGTAAGCATTGGATGGGCAATCCTCTTCTATGACTTCCGACCTGTATCCAGGGACGACTGTGACCTAACTTTCCCCCTTCCACAGGCAAAAGTTCAAGTGGCCGAGAAGACGGAGAGGGACATAGACAGCACGCGGTCCCAGTATGTCCCCGTGGCCGTCAGGACGCAGATCTTGTTCTTCTGCGTCTCGGATTTGTCCAACGTGGATCCGATGTACCAGTATTCACTGGAGTGGTTCTTGGGCATCTTCACTGCCGCCATCGCCAACTCCGAGAGAGCAGGTGAAGCATAGGAGACAAATAATACATGACTTTCGTATATGGATATTGTATGAAGGAAGTGTGCCGCTCTAACCCTGCCCTGTGATTGGCTCTTGTAGAAACGGTGGAGAAGCGTATTGAGAACATAAACACGTATTTCACCTTCAGCCTGTACAGCAACGTGTGCCGCAGTCTCTTCGAGAAGCACAAACTCATGTTCTCCTTCCTGCTGTGTGTGCGAATCCTCATGGACAAGGGGCTCATTCACATGGTGAGTCGCCGGATGCCATCTATAGACACTGGCGGTATACATTGGGGGCAATCGGAAGGGAACTCTCAGCTTGTACTGTATTGTTCTTTTAACCAAAATCACGATATTGTAGTATATTTGGTGTTATAAAAATGAAGCATCACAGAAGGGGGCTGTTAGTTATTGTTGTATACAGTCTTCAAGCAGTACGGTCCTCCTGTACTAGTGATTCACTGCTAAATCAGCTGATAACAAACAGTTAGGCCCGTGCACATTGAGCGGTTCGCAAATCGCGCGTTTGTCGCGCGATTTGCATTTTGCGCGATATCGCGCAAATGCTTGCATTGAACAAGCTTAAATCGCGGCTAAATCCGCTCCAAAAAGGGTCCTGCTGTAGCGACGCACGACCCGCGACAGCAGGACCCTTTGCCCCATTGAGAAGCATTGGAGAGCGATATCGCGTGGTAAATTGCCGCGATATCGCGGGAATTACCGCGCGATAAATCGCTCAATGTAAACGGGGCCTTAAGGTCCACGATGGGAGCGGCCATGAACTTTAAATAAGTGTACATTACATTAGGGACCACTCTCTCTCTTGCTCACTACAGGGGTGCATTGACACTGGCACGTGGCTTTCCCATATTTGCACACAGATACCTTTTGCTTCTAATCAGGGGCGTAACTAGAAATCACCGGGCCCCGTAGCAAAATTTGTATGGGGCCCCGTGATTGCTAGTTATGCCACTTGCAGAGCCCACCTGAGATCCCACACAGCCCTACTGAGAGTGACCCTGCAGAGCCCGCCATAGACTCTCTATAGTGGGCTCTGCAGGGTCTCAGGTGGGCCGCACACCTCTTACCTGTCAGCGATGTCCGCCTCCGTAGTCGCCGGGCCCCGCCTCCTCTTCCGTTCCCGGGCCCCTCCTCCTCTTCTATCGACGGGCCCCGCCTGCTCTTAGGTCGCTTGCCGGTGATGTAAGAGGAGGCGGGGTTGCTCTTAGGCGGGCCCCGCCTTCTCCTTCTTTCGAACGCCGGCCTCTTCTGCCGCAGCTGCTGGCTGTCACTGACACGTCTCCGCAGCGGCTGTGAGGGGAAACGCGCCGCGGCCGCTGCACACATCACTGACAGGTTGTCAGTGATCTTCACAGCCGCTGCTGAGCTGTGTCAGTGACAGCCAGCACCCTTACATGCCATAGCGACCCAGGCGGCCCACACGGCATCAGAGGGATGCCCTGGCCGGGCCCCCCCTGTGCCCGGGCCCCCATAGCGCCCGCCTGGGTCGCTATGGCGATTGTTACGCCACTGCTTCTAATCAGTATGGTGAGCTCACAGAGAGCAGAGCAAAGTATTGCAAACAAGGGGGTTCTGCACCCGAGGTCCAGGGAGGGAAACAGCTGATTGGCCTGTCTCAGGGTAGATAAGTGACCCCCACAAATACCCCACACTGATCTGGGCTGGCACGCTCCCCGGGTTTATACGGACATTATAAAGTATGTTGTATGTGCTGAGATTCAGGGAAGCGCGGATAAAGTTCCCGTGGCTGATCGCGTTCTATACGCGCTGCTGATATCATATAAACGTATGAAGTTCATTTCATTGCCATCGCTGCAGCGGCTGTGAGGGGAAACGCGCCGCGGCCGCTGCACACATCACTGACAGGTTGTCAGTGATCTTCACAGCCGCTGCTGAGCTGTGTCAGTGACAGCCAGCACCCTTACATGCCATAGCGACCCAGGCGGCCCACACGGCATCAGAGGGATGCCCTGGCCGGGCCCCCCCTGTGCCCGGGCCCCCATAGCGCCCGCCTGGGTCGCTATGGCGATTGTTACGCCACTGCTTCTAATCAGTATGGTGAGCTCACAGAGAGCAGAGCAAAGTATTGCAAACAAGGGGGTTCTGCACCCGAGGTCCAGGGAGGGAAACAGCTGATTGGCCTGTCTCAGGGTAGATAAGTGACCCCCACAAATACCCCACACTGATCTGGGCTGGCACGCTCCCCGGGTTTATACGGACATTATAAAGTATGTTGTATGTGCTGAGATTCAGGGAAGCGCGGATAAAGTTCCCGTGGCTGATCGCGTTCTATACGCGCTGCTGATATCATATAAACGTATGAAGTTCATTTCATTGCCATCGCTATGTGTCCCGCAGGACGAGTGGCGTTTCTTGCTCTCGGGGGGCACAGCGGCCTCTCTGGCTGAGAATCCGTGTCCGGAGTGGCTGGCCGAGCGAGCCTGGAGGGACATCCAAGCGTTGAGTTCACTTCGCAACTTCAGCAGCATCAAAGACCAAATCACCCAACACAGCAAAGAGTATCGGAGGGTCTGCGACAGTCCCGAGCCACACCGGTGAGTCCCATCACCATCCTGGGTCTCTGTGCTTCTCTGGTGCGGGCAGTTGATGGTGGGAGGTGGGAGGGGCCCGCAGGGGGCTGTACCTAACTTTCTGAAACCATCACAGCACCCGGCCTCAGTGCTCCTCTCAAGAGTACTCAGCCATGATGCAAGCAGTGGGCGGGCTCTTGGGAGGAGTTATGCAAATGTAAAAATGTCTTGATGGGTGGGTGTCAGTCTGGGGGAGTGGGCGTTCCTAAACCGGCTGTATTTGCATGCAGACCACCCTAGGTAACGCCCACAGGTGATGCTGAGCCTCCATTAATTCAAAGAACTGAAATCCAATGGATGAAAGCAGAAAGCCAAGGACAGTCAGGCTGGGGAGGAACAAGCTGGATGATGCTGGACGTCCTTCAGCCAGGAAATGAGGCGGGCCTCTATCTGACTTGCTGCAGCTTCTAATGTACATTGTGAGGAGCTCCCAGTGTGCAGTGACATCAGAGGAAGAGGAGAGGAGCCGGTACAACTGTGCAAGACTGAAGGGGAGGATGGAGGTCAGATAGAAGACTGAAGGGAAGGACGGAGGTCAGATAGAAGACTGAAGGGGAGGATGGAGGTCAGATAGAAGACTGGAGGGGAGGACGGAGGTCACATAGAAGACTGGAGGGGAGGACGGAGGTCACATAGAAGACTGAAGGGAAGGTCGGAGGTCAGAGAGAAGACTTCAGATAGAAGACTGAAGGGCAGGACAGAGGTCAGATAGAAGACTGAAGGGAAGGATGGAGGTCAGATAGAAGACTGAAGGGAAGTTAGGAGGTCAGATTGAATTAATACCATTCAGCACAAGAGAGACGTGAAGTCCAGTTTTGTGTTTTTATTTGTTTGCACTGACAATGAATAAGTGGATCATTGAACACAGATCGGGTTCTATACACAGAAGTTGGTCACACGCGTCACCATTCTATTGTACAATGTTATATGGAGCAGCAATTGTATAATGGGGGATTACCCGATTGGCTGTAGAGTGACAGGATGGTCTAGACAGGTTCTCTTGATAAGTGTAATGGATGCGGTGCAGATATGGAGCCATCGGGCTGCCGGCCTCAGACACCAGGTATAGAGCGGACCCTCCAGGCATCCAAGGTGTGCGTTGGGCTGTATAATGTCGTCTGCTCCTCGTTCTCAGGGAGAAGCTTCCGGGCAGTTTGGAACAATCTCTCGACGACTTCCAGAAGATGCTGATTCTGCGCTGCCTGCGAGGAGACAAAGTGACCAACGCCATGCAGGACTATGTGTGTCACCAGCTGGGACAGAGGTTCATAGAGCCGCAGGTACGACGGGTCGCTCCCCTCGGG